CAATCAGTCCGGCAATTTCTTGACCAAATGTAATGAAGTTATCGATTTTAGATATGAAAATAGGTGGCGGCTCGGGCTCAGAAAACTCTTGAGGCTCCGGAATCTTGCTTGTTATTTTATTAACGGGAACAGAATTATTGATGTTAGTGGTGGTTGGTGCAGTTGGCTCTGATTTTATGGTAATTGATTTGCTTCTGGTTTGAGGTGGTGATATATTTTGCTCGGCTGATTGTTTAGTTTTAGTAGATTTACTATGTTCAGTTGACCTTTTAGATTTATTTTGCTCTGCTAGCTGTTTAGGTTTAGCTGATTTGTTTTTTTTTCTTATTGGATGAATTAGCTCCCGACCCAGGAGGAATGTTTCGATGACGTTTTTGAAGAGTTCGTCTTTTTAAATACTGCGAATCTGTTTCGCTAACTTCAGAAAACGGCGTTTCGTCCTCCGAATCTTCACTTGACGAACTCTTATCTAAATTCATATCTTCCATATTATGATAAGAGAGAGAAAAAAAAAATATCTACTCCTAAATATGACAATTAAAAAGATTGAAGATTACGAAATAAATTATTAAAAAAATAAACTATATACATAACTATAATCAGAAATAAAATAAAACATTTCTTAGAATAAATATTTAAATAAAAATAAAACAGTTTCTGGAAAAAAAAAAAAAAAAAAAGTAAATATAGTGTCTTGGGTTCAAACTGAAGACCTGATGACTGAAGGAAGTTAGTAAACAGAGCCCCTGGCCGTGAACTTATCGGAATATGATAAGGCAGGTAAGGGAATTAACGGCCTCTCGATCTAACCAAATGAGCACCAATTTATCGATTGTTTATTATTTTGTTTTTTTTTTAGCTTTAATTTTTTATTCACACCTGTAATAATGGTAATGACAACCAGTAAATGTGAGGTCGATTGCAAAATATAATGTCATGAAAGACATGAGGAGGATCAGTGCCCAGTGGCACCTCACTCGGCGTGATATCTACATTAGGCGAGGAGATCCCTCATCCAGTTCCTCTTCAGTCTCCTACAGACGTTACCTGGCATATTCCTAGTGGCTATGTCATTTATAAGTGTATTAGGATGTCCTTGTATGTTGTCATAGAATCGTTTGTAATGAGTTCGTATGTGTTCGTTAACAGTCGGCATATGGAGGTCAGTATGTAAAGTTATGTTGCTAACGTACCAAGGTGCTTTTGTAATTGTTCTGAATGTTTTTGCTTGAAAGATTTAAAATTTGTTTAAGTGAGTCTTTTTAACAGTTCCAAATATCTGTGATGCGTAAGTCCAAATAGGTTTTAGTAAGTAATTGTACGTGTTCAATTTCTGTCTAAGTTTTAGTTTTGAATTTTTCGAAAGAAGTGAACTCAGAATTCTTAACCTTTGATTTAGCGTTTTTCGTTTCTTTATTATATGTGGGCCCTACGTCATTTTTCTGTCAAATGTCAGACCAAGGTAGTGAACGGTGTCTGTCTGTGGAATCTGTGTTGTTAAGGAAAACAGGAGGGCATGTTTCATGGCGAAGAGTAAATGTGATGTGCTGTGATTTGTCTTGATTTTACAAATTTTGAACCAGTCATGTAATCTTGTTTAATACTGTTGTAGGGTATGTGAGGCGTATATTGGATTTTTGTGTCTTGCTAAAATTGCTGTGTCGTCTGCATATGTCGCTGTTAAAATGTTGGGACTGCAGGGTATGTCATGGGTGTATGTGATATAGAGTAGTGGAGCGAATACTGAACCTTGAGGTACTCCTGCTGAGATAGACCTGATGGAAGATAACTCTAACCCGTGTCGGACCGAGAAAGATCTATCGGAAAGGAAGGATTGTAAAATTAGATAATATGTTGATGGGAGTATTGTCTTGAGTTTAAAGAGAAGACCCTGGTGCCAAACTCTGTCAAACGCTTGAGCAACATCCAGAAATACGCCAGTTGCATATACTTTCTGCTCTAGTGCTGTAGATATGTAGTCCGTTACTCCTATGTAGTTGGTGTACAGTTGAGTGATGTGCCCTAAATCCAAATTGATGGTCAGGTATTATTTGGGTGTTTGTTAGTATATCAACAAGTCTTTTGTTCAGTAAGCTTTCAAAAATTTTGGAACAGATAGGTAGTAAGCTAATTGGTCGGTATGAGGAAGGTGAGTTTTTGTCCTTGTTAGGCTTGTGAATCATTATTATATGTGAGTATTTCCACTGTAGTGGAAATTTAGTTATCCTCAGTATTGCATTATAAATAGTTGTCAAAAGCACTAGAGCTTTTCTAGCCATTTGTTGGAGCACTTCAGAATTAATCAAGTCATGTCCAGGAGCTTTTCTTTTAGGCAACTTTTTGATTTGTTCAGCAATCTGGGAAAGTATGAATGAAATATGAGGTGAAGTTAGTTGTAAGGACACGTCTATAGTGTTTAGTACATTGTTATCGTGCACAGTGTTAGTGAAGTCTGTGTGTGGTACAAAAAACAGAAGAAAGATATTCTGTAATTTTTCCCAGAGCCAACCTTTCCAAAGTGGTTCCTTAATGCTGTGGGCTGGGATTTTAATGGAGCGCCGCACAGAATTGGTTGTTGTCCGTGGAGGGTCTTTGACGGCAATTCGCTATGTAGATGAGATTTTGGAACCTCATGTGTTGCCTACCCTTAAGGGGACCCTACACGGTCAATCGGAATTGCACTAATGACGTTCCGAATTGTCGTGTAAGGTAGTGAATGAAGTACTGATGGTGGTGCGCTGCGGATTTCCGAACTTCCGGAAATCAAAGGTTCATTCACGAGAAGTGGAGGGGAGACCGACTAAACATATGGGCTGGGGAGACCAACTATACTGCTGGATAGGTTAGGTTACCTAGGCCTCACAACCATTATAAATTTCTGATTTTCATTATATGTAAATAGTTAAATAATTTTTCATATCCCTTGTTTATAATTTTAAACCATCTTCAACTATTTCTTTTAAATAGTCAAATGGGCAGCAAATTAAAAAAAAAAAAGAGGAAACTTCACAATTTACTTTAGGAAAAAAAAAACTTTATCGTTGTGTATATTTATCAGTTCTTTTCCCATTTTCCTCAACAAATTTATTATTTTCGCAATACCTTTCCTTAATTTTTGTAAGTAGTAGACTTATATTTTACTAACTTTTGTAAAATGATTTTCTATGAGACTAACCTTCTATGAGACTACTAGATAGATTAGTTTACCTAGGTCTCGTTATTAAGTAAATAGTTGTTTATATCCCTAGTCTATATTATTATTAACCATTTTCAACTATTTTTTTTAAGTAGTCAAGTAGACAATAAATTGAAGAGAAAAAGTGGAAACTTCACAATTTACTTATAGAAAAAAATCTTTAACTGTTGTGTTTATTCGCCATTAATTTTTCCATTTTTCTTAACAAATTGATTATTTTCGCAATACTTTTCCTAGATTTTTGTATATAGTTGACTTATATTTTACTAACTTTGATCTAAACGATTTTCAGGCACTAGGAAGTAATTATTATATCTCCGTTTTTCTCTTGATGCCCAATATTATAAATGACAATGTCCAAATAAGCATATCTATGCTGTTTCTTTGTTTACAACTGAGCTAAATTGGTATCAGCATAAGTAATGATCAGTAATGATTGAACGTGTAAGGGTCTTCATGATCAAAGCGATCGCGGGCAATCTTGGAACTTCTTGTGACGTTCATTCATGAATTACCGTGTAGGGTCTGCTTTAACGAAATAGGCGATCGTTCTATTCTAATGCACGATAATGCACACCCACATGTCGCCCGCATAGTGCAGACGTTCCTTCAACAGAACAATATTGAGGTTTTAGCCTGGCCAGCACGTTCTCCAGATTTGAATCCCATTGAGCATTTATGGGATAACCTCGGAAGACGAATAAGAGCGCGTGCAGCACTTCCTGATACACTGCAGGACCTTGAAAGGGCTCTTCGGGAGGAATGGGCTATCCTCCAGCAAAGGGACATTTCCCAACTGGTGGAAAGTATGCCGAGGCGTCTTCAAGAAGTAGTGAAGGCAAGAGGAGGAAACACGCGCTACTAAACGATGATGTAATTAATTTCTTTTAGAATAATAATGGTTCGTTTTTCAATTTGTTTTTCTCTAATCTTTCTTACCCAATCACATTTTGATTATTAAAGGTAAAAAAGATTATAAAGTTCCATAAATACTAAGTATTATCTACAAATACCATGTATTATATACAAATACAACTTTTTTTACAAGAGGGTGGAATTTTTTTGCCTGTCAGTGTATTTCCAAGAGGGGCACCGGAAATTCGGTATCGCCCAGAGCTTGTGAAGATCTGTATATATGGTATAATATTGCTTAATATATACCTTAACCTTGCAATTATATTGACACTGTTTCAATAATATTGAAGGAGCTTCAATAAAAAAAAAAAAACTTTGATATCAACAGGTTTGATTGACGTCAATATAATTTAGCTCTTAAACAGTCAATATATTGCCGAAACTCGATATTTACTTAATAATATTGACCGTATAAGGGGCCCTTTACATAACAATAATAGGATACAAAAATTTTTTCTTCAATATTGCGAGGGATTACGTGCCCCTGGTGCTGTTTGGTAGTAGGCGTGTAAACTACCTAAATAACTACCGGTCGTCTTGTTCAGTCATCTATATCGCATCTCTCATCGCTCCCTACTATCACATTCTCTATTAAAATCCGCTGATATTTATCCAATGCAATACACAACTTTAAGAAAAAATATGCATTTAAATCCTTTTTTCCTTCACCGTTCGGATTTGATTCTTCGTTGACGGCCTCTTTCAAATTTTATCATTACCTCTTTACATTGAGAATAGTTAATACCTTTAATCAGTTTTCATATTGTTTCTAATAGCATTAATTCAGATCCTTTACTTGGAAATATTTGTATATTAAAATAGTGTTCTCAACTTTCAATGATAAGGTGATATTAAAGTATATCTTTGTTCTATGAGTAGGTCAATTCTGATCGGTTCAACTGAACTTAGCTGTTAAATCTTAGCCACTTGGGCGTTTTGTTTATGCTGTCAAGTTGTTTAATTTGTTGACGTTTTGAAACTTTTTCTTTTTTTTGTCGTACTGATCCTTTGTGATACGAAATGAAGTTTTAAATTATGGTATTAATTAGTGAAACCTATGTATGGAAAAGATATAGAGTGATATTTTTGCAAGGTTTGTCTTTATATGCTCTAAATTTCTAAATAATTTACATTTTGTTTTGTTAATTTTTGAAGATAAATAATTTAGTTTGTTTTAAAATCATATGCATTTAATTGGTATGTTTTAGCAATATATTAAAACTTAACACATTGAAGATGATTTAGTTATATACAATTTTAATTTGATAATATATAAAATTGTTTCCATCATTATTCATTAGCGCTTTAGTTTTAGCTTTTGAAATTATTCTGAAACCTGATATTGTAGTTTCTGTCTCAGTTGTCAACTCTGTTTACTTGTTTAAAAATTTTATTATTTTTTTTTATGACTGTCTTGTAATGAGTTAGTTTATTCATTATTAAATGCCAAAGTAATGCCTGAAAATATTTATCTAGTCTATAATTACTATGAATTTTAATTTTACTATGAAAACAATAATGTAATGTGATTTAAAATGAATGAATGAAATAAGATTAATCTGATGTTCTTTATTTCATTGTAATTTTACGATTAGAAAAAATATTCAAAACTAATACATGGTATTGTTCTGTTGTAAATGATTTTATATGTAAGTAAATTGTTAATTAACCAATGCTTTGTTACTTAATTATTCAAAGTAATTTTGTATCTTTATTATTAGATTTTGTTATAAAAATTGAGTTAAATAATAACTAAAACTAAAGTATTCCCAAAACATTTTAAACAACTTTAGAGTAATTCTAGTTTTTAGTTATAGTGAAGACTGATATTTTTTATGTATCCATACTTCATTGGTATCAACATCATAAAAATATTTAAAGAAAATTTACACCCTAATTATCTTTTTTCCCCGTATCTTCCATAATTTTAAATTTAATACAGTAACAGCGCCGTTTTTAAATATCAATTTTAATATTTTAAATGCCCTACTACAAGATATCTCACAGATAATATTGTTGTCCAAGAGGTCAACTGCGATTATCTTCTGGTTTGTTTGGATGCCATATTATTGTAGCTGCTATACAATTTTTAGAGTTGTAAATAATATCATATGATTAAATTGAATAGGCTTTTTAGATCAGCATTCTGTTAAGTATTGTAGGCAGTCAATATGTCAAACTTTTATCACTTCCTGGTTTTGTTTTGCCGATAACTTTTATCCATAATCCAAAATTACACTTAAATTAAATTAAACATGTGTTATAATTTTAATAACCTTCCCACCTATGTATTGAGATATCATATGTAATATAAACTAAATAAAGAAAATTAAATAATAAAAAATATGAGGAAGAGGAATGTGCCGAGGTAACTCACCCTCTGATTACCAACTGATAATCCACCCGAGGGTTTTCATCGCTTTGTACGACCATTTAATTTTTAAACTACCTGATTAATTATTATGTCTTAATGCTATTATATCCCAGTTATATTATGTCTTGACCATTTTAGTGAAGGTGTTGTGGAAAATGAGTCATAATTATTCGAACCTGTTTTTCGAGTTTAGTTTTTAATGTAATTGAGTTATTGCTTGTTTGGTCATTGGTTGCTCCTTTTTTAAAAAAATGACAATTTTAATTCTAAAATTTTATTTTATTGAAAAATTTAATGGTATTACATTTTACAATGCTCTACATTTTTATACCAAACAAAGAAATTGAATTGTCATACAAACAAATACTTGGTTATTTCATACTTTTAAACTCATTTCCCTTTAATGCAAAAAAGAAAGAATGATGAGAATAAATAATTTAATAATTGTATCGTTTTATATAGTCTGTTGTCATGATTCATCATGTAATATGATTCTTCAATCATATTAGAAATGCATTACTAATTAATTACTAGTATTGGTAAAATTTATTTCAAAATAAGTATAGGAAAGCATGTATAAGACCAAATTCAATATATTAAAATTCAAAAAGTGAGTCAATATTTAGGCATTGTTTCTTTTTTTTTTTTTTTTTTTTCTAAAATCAATAAATTGTGATTCAAAAAAAAATTAAAATCCGTTATTGGTTCATTCTTTTAAGTAAAGATTACACTTTCTATGTTTGTATTCTTTGAATTCTCGCTATAAATGTATATATATCTACAATATTTTATGACAGCCAGCCTAAAATCAGGTGAAAATTGATATGGAACCACTCAACTTTGAAATATAAAATCAAGGCTAATGAACAAAAGTAGATTACTTAACTTACTTATTCGGATGCTACAGTCCAATATGAACCTTGGCCTCCCTCACAATCTGTCTCCAGCCGTCTCGATCCAGTGTCCTCCATCTCCATGTAGTCACTGCAAGCCTAGTCAAGTCCTGCTCGACATCCTTCAGCCAGCTTGTTCTGGGGCGCCCCCTTCTTCAATTTATTAAACCTTGGAAATCCTTCATTATATTTTTTCTAATCTGCTCTTCTGTCAACCTTTCAATATGACCAAGCCGACTTAGCCTTCTTGATTTAACAAATCTAACTATATCCTCATGCCCTATGAGGTCATCAAGTTCTCTATTTTTTCTGAATCGCCAGATAATCTCTGAGCATATGTATGGGGCAGGAAATATGTCTTAATATTTTTTTTTTCACTTAGAGCTATCTGTTCTGGGACTTCCAGTGTCCAACTTTCTGCTCCATAGCACACCAACGGTCTCATCAGAGACTTATATATTTTTAATTTGGTTGGTTTGGTCAGGATGTTTGATTTAATTAGTTTCTGAAGGCTATAGTAGACTCTATTTCCAGCCATGATTCTACTTTTGATTTCATCACTTCTCTTGTTTTCACAGTTTAATTCCACACCAAGGTAGGTGAATCAATCAACACCTTCAAAGTGATAGGTACCCACGATTAAATCTGGCGGCCTTCTGGTTAATCATTAGTCACTAGTCCAACTTTCCTGCTTCCATTATCTGATTCAACTAGTAATTCCTTTAAAGCATTTTCGTTTCCGCCCAATATCACAATATTATCCGTATAACCAACAATCTGCGTAGCAGACTTGCAAGGTTACCACTCGGCACAATTTTTCCTATAATTTTATGGAGGATTAAGTTAAATAGTATGGCTGATATGTCATCTCCTTATTTTACTCCACTTTTGTACGTGATTTTGCGACTGGTTTGATTTCCAATTAGGACACTGCGTTTGAGCCGTTGTCATTTTAATCAAATTGATTAACTGATAATGAATACCGAGAGCTTCATAAAGCTGAATCCTTCTAACTCTATCAAAAGCCTGTTTATAGTCCACAAAAAGCAAGTGGACATCAGCATTAAGCTCATAACATTGTTCTAATATCTGTTTCACTTGCAAGATCTGGTCCATAGTCCCCCTGTTAGAACGAAAACCACACTGGTAATTCGTGAGGATCCTTTCAGAGTATATCTTAATCTTTTCTTTGTAGTATATCTTAAGCTCCTTGAGTATATCTTAAGCTTTTGGCATTGGGTTTTATCCCCTTTTTTACTTTCACTTATCTATACATGAAATATATAGTAAGGGTAAGTATTGGGATCATCAAAATTTTCAAATCTGAGTTTTCAGCAAAAATAAATATTTTGAGGTCTCCTGAGTCCAAATAACGAAGTTCCACAAAATCGTTTGTAAAAAAATAACTCTTTTATTGACAGTAAATATAAAAAATGGCTAAATGTGAAGATTGAAAGAATATGATAATTGGAAACTGGATGAAGAAAAAAAGAAAAATGCTTATCCAGGTTGAAAATAAATCTTCAGAAACAACAAACGGAAGGTATGCGTATAATATATTGTTGGAAAGCGGAGAATTTTAGAAAAAAATAATATCAAATAAATAAAGTTATAGAAGGTTAAGGAGAGTGCCAAAAAAATATATATATATAAATAATGATTTCAGAAAACTAACATTATTTAATGTAAATCACATGTTAACAATGAAATTTTTTTCAAATATTGTATAGATATAACTTTTCCAACTAGAAATATCACTAAAATAACGTTACTCAAAAACGTTGAAATTGGAGTTTGACATTCTATCAACTGAAAGGCCCAGAGACTGAAGTTATGAGGATTATAAAACTAGATTTTTACTGCCTACCGTCGATATTATAGACTTAGTAATTTTAATGGTCTTAATGATTTGTTATCTGTAAGCTTTATGCTTTAGCTCTGTTTAAAATGCACTTCAAAAATTTTATAACAGCCTAACATTGCCAGAAAATAATTTCTATTCAAAGTAGAGGGGTAAGTGAAAGTTGTGTGTTGCCTTCTCCAGATTTTTAAAGATCAATCCAGAGCACCAACTGGTTGCCATTTTCTCATTTGTCCAGATGCCATAAATTAAATCATACATCCTTTGATACAGCAGATCTCTGCCGATTTTAAGGATCTCACATGGAATATTATCTTCTCCAGGGCCACAGTTATTTTTTGGTGAAACTAGGGCATCCATCTTCAAAATCCTCATACCAGGGTGGTTCGTCATCAGAGTTCTCCACTGTATTCCTCCTAATGTCCAATCCACATTGTGCTTTTTCCTGAGCTGGGCCATTCACATTAAGAATTTCTTCAAAATGTTCTGCCTATTTATTCATGACTTTTATGTCTTCTCCTAGCATCGTTCCATTTTTATTGCGGCATATGTTCATCTGTGGTTGAAACCCATTTCTCATTCACCTTCAAGTAAAATTTTCTTTCCTCTTTGCTCTCCTTCAGTTCTTCCAAAGCTTCAACCTTCTTCTTTATCCATTCTCTCTTCTTCCTATTACTTTTTGTATTTTTCTGCATTCTCTTCCTATCTTTATTCTTTTTATCTTTGGATCTTACGCATTCTTCATCAAATCACTCACCATTCCTTTTTGAAGTACTTTCACCTAACACTTTCTGGGCAGTTATCGGTATTGTATCCTTCAAACAACTCCACTCCTCTATGTCATCCTTTTGCTCTCCCTCTTATAATTTAGTGCTTAGTGCCTCTTGAAAACTTTCTTTCACTTGTTCATTCCCGAGATTTTCCAGATTCCATCTCACCCTTCCTAGCCTGCTAACTTCCTGCAA